AACATGTGTTGGGAGTTGGAGAACCGAAACCTGATTATATATTCGAATTTTACAAAGAAATATGTGTTTGGCTTACGTTATTTATTGTAACCTTATAGGAGTTGTAGAATAGTTAAAGTAAATGTGACAAAATTTTGCAGATCCGCGCACAAATCAATCATGAATGCTTACTAGTAAGCTAATACTGTGTCAGACAGGGCGTTTTTAGGGCCGCAAGCAAAAGGCAAAAGCTCTTTAATTCGTCTATCTGTATATCACACCTTCTGCCACTAACTGCCTCGGTGATATAGTGGCTAGTATGTACGGCTGCATATCCGGAGGTCCTAGGTTGGAGTCCTGGGTCAGGCTAAGTTTAGTTATTGAGTCTTTGTGTATAGTAAGTCTCAGTAACAGTCCGGAGTTGGGAAGCTGGCGGTGTTTCACCCCCGTGCCTCGGAGAGCACGTAAAGCCGTCGGTCCTGCGCCTTAACTTTCACTGGTCGTATCGAGCAGTCGTCCCACCGGAGTAATGAGAGTGACAGGAATAGAGAGTGCACTTGTATCTGCGCGTACACTTGTGCACTATAATATCTCCTGCGCAGTTGGCTAGTCTGAATGAGATTGGCCGCCGTGGCCGGAATCGGCTAGGAGAACATCATCATCAGTATGTACGGCTGCATATCCGGAGGTCCTAGGTTGGAGCCCTGGGTCAGGCTAAGTTTAGTTATTGAGTCTTTCTGCTTAGTATGCCTCATAAGTATGCCTCAGTAACAACCCGGGTATGGGTAGTTGGCAGTGTTTAAACCCTGTCAAACCCCCCTCGGAGAGCAGGTGAAGCCATCGGTCTTGCGCCTTAACTCTCACTGGTTGTGTCGTGTAGTCGTCCCACTGGAGTATGAGAGTGACAGGAATAGATATTGCACCTGTGTATGCGCGTACACTTGTGCACTATAATATCTCCTGCGCAGTTGGCTAGTCTCAATGAGATTGGCTGCCGTGGCCCAGATCGGTTGGGAGGACATTATATCACACCTTCTTACTTCAATACTGTCATTACTATAAACTTATTTATATAGTCAATACAGTTGCACTTTAAGAATTTAAATGTTGATATCTTAAATTTACATTATGTAACACAAAATTCTATATACGGCAATAAAAGCAGAATTATTTTACATATGTACATTTGATAAATTCTCTACATAAAATATGAGACCAGGCAGTATTTTATAATACGAGAGACTGTATAAATCACAAATATGTCAGTCGGTGTGAAATACTGAAGTACGTGGATACTCGACCAACAATAAATAAACATTAGTATTAATTTTTTTGACGATTTTCAAAGCCCGGTGATATTATACGAATAGGTACATGTTTCATACTATCTCGTCGTTAATTTGATTCTATTATCTATACATTTAATCAAATTCTGAGTTGAATCTGTACATTGAATATTTTTTGGAAAATCTTATAATTATTATCGGTACAGAGGCAGAATCTATAGTTTTTAGAATTTCTGTCTATCTGTCTGTCTGTGAACGCATCACGAGAAAACCATCGGATAAATTCTTATGTTTGGTATGAAGATAGCTGGTTATCCGGGTCAACATATAGGATACTTTTTACTGCGGGAAAATAGCTCATCTCTAAGAAATCTATACTAAGCCTGAAAACATTATCACTAGTATTAAAAATATATCTTAGACTAGAAGAAGTTGATATGTTACCTACACACAGACCAATTAATGTACATATATTTACATTTTTATTTATTTTTTATCTCTATATATCGGGTTTAGACAAGTATATGATATAATCGCCAAATAAAAGATTAAATGATGAATGAAAATGGCATACCTATACGTTATTTAAGTTAAAGAACATGTCATTCCCAAAATCCCAACGTATATAAATTTTCCGCTTTCATAGAATTTCAGTATAGTAGAGAAAGCTATTGGAAAACGCAAGGTATTCAGGACGATTCAATAAGATTACTATCGACAATCGTATATAAATAGAATTAAAAAAAAGAAATGGGAATGACATAGTTTGTCTCTGACATAAACTTACTTTTGATATTTCAATGAACGTTTTAAAATAATAGATACAAACTAAAAGAATTAAATTGAAAATTTCTTTTCGTAAACGTGGTCTATATCTTGTGAAAGCCCATAGAATTGTTAGTTAAAAACATATGAAATCAAAAATAAGTATTGATTAACTATGAAATTTATACGAGCATGGTCAAGTGATATTTGAGTACGGTCCGATGAGCGCGCTTGAAGAAAATTGTGATATTTTTAACTTAATAGGTCTTTTGACCAGTTTTCTGTGTTTAAAATGAAATCTTAGATTTATCTAAGTTTTTTTTTTAAATAATAATTGTCTTTCATAATTTTAGATTCGGGTTCTGTTTGATAAAAAAATAGTCGAGCGTAAGATTTATTATAATCAATTGAATATAATATGTAATTATTGGTAACGTTGATGCTATCAAGTCTAGTAGGATTAAAATCATACTATAATATTTAGTGTCAATTAAATAAAACGATTTAGACGGATATTTTCGACGATTTATTTTGATTTTTGGTTCCCGACGTTTTGAATGCTTTACAGCAATCATGGTCACGGGAGAGACTCCCAGTCGGGTCAGTCTCTCATGTAAAATATTCACGTAAATCTAAGAAAGTGTTAATACTACAATTTTTAATGACTGTTTTAGAGATGCGACGACAATTTTTTTTTAATTAGAAAGACTAATCACTATTCAAAAGAAGTAGACAATAGACATACAGTAAATAAAAAACATGCAAATTACTAGTGTATAGAGCTAGAAGGGAACTTCTTAAAGCTTCCCTTTTTATCTTCTTAACGCCAAGTCTAAAAAATCAATACCCTAATTCTTGAAAACGTGTGTTCGACTCACATTTGATAATTTTATTTTAAGATTGAATATGGTTGCAGCAAATTGAGGTTCCCAACGACTTTAATATATCGTTAGATCTAAATGAGTGTAAAAATCATTCACTTATTATAGTGAGAACTGGACTCGTTAGTGTAAAATACCATGTGATCATAAGTTGTCAGTGCTTTAATTTAATAATTAACAGCTTAAATTATATGTACCTTTTGAGTATATTATTTGACTAGTGACTTACCCTGGCTTCGCTCGAATATGTCTTTAGGTACGTTTTAATTTTATTCTAAAATAACAGTAGCTTAAGTTTGTCCTTATAACATCAGCTATCTGCCAGTGAAGGTTCCGTAAAAATCACTTCAGCCGTTTCGGAGATTAGCCGGAAAAAACAAACAGATCGATAATTAAAAAAAAACTGTTTTCTTATTACGTAGGTATCGTATATAATTTCATATGGATTTAGTAAAAAGCTGTTATTATAAAATTTCAAACAGGCACTTTAATGTTATTTAACTTTTATAGATGTATAGATAAATCTGCTATTATTGGCTAATAATGCTGAGTATATAGGTTACATATACATAATTTTACGATACAAAACACTAACCAATTAAAAGAAAGGTTTTTATTAATTTCGTAGCTGTATAGTAAAAAAAATAGTACAAAATCGACTACATACAAAACTAGAATGAATAAAACGCTTAAATTGGTCAATTTAGATAAAAAAAGTACTTAAATACATTAGTAGAATTGCTTCACTTAATGCATTATTTCACGGTAACCTACTAGATAATAAAAGACATTCTGTTTTACGACATCATAGTCCTATCTCTCAGATTATCCTTTTGCACTTAACAATAGCCATTATGTTACATTGAATGGACCTAAAACGCCTTTATAGGAATTTAGATAGTCAGAATACTTTTTTGTGCCCGTCAATCTCAGGAAAGTATAAGGATTTGAGTTCAAAGTTGTTATTAGGGTTCAGCACCCGAAGGGTGCTAACGGAACCCTATTACAAAGCCTTTTCACAGAGTATGTATTTCTATTGCCGCTATAACAACAAATAAATAAAAATAAAAAATATATATACAAGAAACATTTTTTTAATGTTCGTAATTCATCACCGAAGTCAAAATACTACGTACATAGAGTAAAAGTCATATTAATAAAAAAATACATGTACGATGGTACAGAACCTTTCGTGTGCGAATTCGACTCGCACTTGATTTAAAGTACAATAAAGTTTTTTTTTATTAAAAGATCTATTGCCTAGTATATAAAGTTTAGTCTTCAATGACCATTGTGTGACAGTTAAAAGATAGCTTGAACGATTGCTACTGCTATTAACGATATTGTAAAATTTAGCGCAATACTTCTATATAATATATATATATAGTCGTGCTCGTTTCTTACTGAATACCATAAAAAAAGCAGTGTTTGTAACAAAACTCCCCCGAAACGGCTTGACCGGTTCTTATGAAATTTTGTGTGCATATTCAGTAGGTCTGAGAATAGGACGTAAACTTTTTTTCTACCCCTAAGTGATAATGGTGGTCCACCACAAAATTTTATTTTATGTACATTTTTAAAAAATACATACTGTTGGATTTTAAAATAGGCCTATCCTTTTCCCGCCCCTTTTTTTCCACACTTGTCTATACATCGCGCGCACAGCATTGACACATAATGTCACCGATGCAAGCGCCTCTAGTGTCAGAGTTCAAAAAACCTTCTTCTAAAAACGACTTCAAGAGCAGCGTGTACGCGTCCGCAATATAATTACAAAAAACCTAAAAAAGTGCAGTGAAAGTGCAGTGCAGTAACCAAGTAAGTCCTGCCCCTTTCCTAAGGCCTAGATATATAGATATTTTTATCAAATTTATTACTTAATCAAACAAATTTGGTCATTCGGCCGGGATACGGTTCCCAGTTACCAAATCAAAGCATTAGGACATTTCACTCACTTTACACTATACAAAGCTTTATTTCTAATCTAAAGTTTGTAATACTTATTGCAATTGTGTTTTCAAAATCCATTAATTGCAATATTCAATATATCGAATCATAAAAAAACGTACACGTCATTGTCTCACCAAAGATGGCGGAAGCACTCGATGTCTTATTGCAACCGCACACTATGAAAAAAGAAATGTCGTTTTTACGTTTACAAGCATTATACGACTTATCTAAAACTGTTGAGAAGGATAGCACAGCCCTTTTAGAATTTTCTGCGCGTGTAAAAGACATTGAAAAAATAAAGAAAACGTATGAGGAATCCGTAACGCAAATCAACCTTTTACACTTAAATCATACACCTAAATATATAGCAAATTATAAAGAAATTGAAGCATTCGATTCTTTATATTATAATATAATGACTGTGGCTTCAAAACACGTTAGTGCAAATACCGAACAGACAAATACGCAAAACGCGCGTTGTGCACGGCCACGTTTACCTAAACTCGAACTATTCCATTTCGATAGTAAACTCGAAAATTGGCAAACATTTTATGACACCTTTTCTAGCTTAATACATAACAACGCTGAATTAAGCAACATAGAGAAATTTTATTATTTAATTACCTCAGTAAGCGGACAGGCATTAAACATTGTCAAAAGTCTGCCTGTTACAGCTGATAACTATACTATCGCATGGAATTTATTAATAAAGAGGTTCGAAAATAAACGAGTTTTAGCCACAAATTATTTAGATAGAATGTTTCAATTTAAACCACTATTAATCGAGTCGTCAGTAGGGCTCAACACATTTTTACAAACATTTCAAGAATGTTACAAAGCAATCAATTTATTAAATATTCCCGATTTATCAAGTTATCTATTGTTCTATATAGCATTCCGTAACCTAGACGCATCAACTCGCCGCGAATTTGAACAGAGTCGTGCGCATGATTCTCATCTACCTACATTCGATCATTTAATGCAGTTTGTCGAAAAACAGGTTCGCGTGTTGGAACTATCCGACCCTAAGATTAGTACGAACAAGGTTCAAAGTAGTACGAAGCCGATAACAGGCGCGATACCAAAGACTGGGTATAAACCGACCAGTTTTAGTAAGACATCCGCGCCTATACAAAAACCGTGTTTGACAGTGGCTAGTGTTAACCGGCCAAATAAAAATGTTAGCGTTGAGAGAACTTGTGCGTTCTGTGGTAAGTCATCGCATTCAATTTATAGGTGTTTTGCGTATAACGATTTAACACCTATTGAGCGTTTAAATAAAATTAGGGAATTAAAACTGTGTGAAAATTGTTTACGCGATGGACATTGTTTCAGTGAATGCCCCTCTAAAATTAAATGCACTTTATGTAAACAAATTCACCACCATACTTTACATTTAGATACGAATTTAAATGAAGATAACAATAATACAATTTCGAGCAATAGTTCTAATCAAAATCATACAGTAGCCTTAACGTGTTCATCAAATTCCACAGTGCTACTGGGCACTGCTGTCATCCACGTGAAGGACAACTGGGGTTCTTACCATTCCTTACGTGCAGTGATTGATAGTGGAGCAATGAGTTCTTACTTAACTAACTCTTGCGCACAACGGCTAGGGTTGCCTCGGCGCAAGTGTAGTTTTCAACCGATTGGGTTAGGTGGCGTACCAGTGCAAGATTTCGGGCTAATTACATGTTCAATAAAACCTCGAAACTCATCTGGACCTACGCTTAAAACCGATTGTGTTGTTGTGTCTAAAATAACCGGTAACTTACCTACGACAATCTTATCAAATCAAATAATTAATCAATTCAAACATTTAGATTTGGCCGATCCTACATACTTCAAATCCGCTTCGATCGATATGTTACTCGCAGGTGATATTTTCCCGTACATATACGATGGTCAAAATATACTACCTAGCGCACCGGGTTTGCCCGTTGCGATGCATTCAATCTTCGGTTATGTGATCGCGGGCGAAGCAAGTTTAGAATGTAAACATATCGAGAATTCGTGTTTATTTTCTACAAATAAAAACGAAGTCTCGTCAAATATCGACAATATTATGAGTTCGTTTTGGGAAACAGAAAACGTGGGTTTTGATGTTCCGCGCAACCCTGACGACGAGTATACCGAGTCACTGTTTTCTACACAACATACTCGCGATGACACCGGGCGTTACACGGTCATTTATCCTTTTAAGCCTAATTTCGAATTGGGTCGCTCGGAGCAACAGGCTTTACGTCGTTTTAATAATTTAGAGTCAAAATTAAATTCTTCTCCCGATCTTAGAGCCCAGTATAATGACTTTATGCGTGAATATGAGAGCTTAGGTCACATGACATGTATTGGCGACTTGGGTACAGTCGAGTCGAAATACATTATACCACATTTTTGTGTATTGCGTCCGTCTAGTTCGACTACAAAACTACGTGTAGTGTTTGATGCGTCATGTAAAACCACTAATAATAATTCTTTAAATTCCGTGTTGTACGCTGGCCCTAAGCTCCAATCAGATATAAATGAGATTCTTATTAATTTTCGTATTCATAATTATTGTTTGTCCAGCGATATTTGTAAAATGTTTCGAATGACGTGGATAAAGCAATGTCAACGGCAATATCAGCATATTTTATGGAGGTTTTCTTCTGATCAACCTATCAAAGTTTACGAGTTGAATACCATAACATACGGTGTAGCTAGCAGTCCGTATCTAGCCATAAGAGTTCTGCACCAGCTGGCAGATGACGAAGCGGCTAATTATCCCTTGGCTTCGAAAATATTAAAGAAATCCTTCTTCGTTGACGATTTATTATACTCGGTAGCGACTCTAGAAGAAGCCATGCAGCTGCAGGACGAGCTCGTCGCTCTCCTAAACAGTGGCGGTTTTACCTTGCGCAAGTGGTCCAGCAACTGCACACAGCTGTTAGAGCGAGTTCCAGCTGATCATCGCGAAACGCCGATTACGTTTAAAGACGATAAGGATTTGTCTGTTAAGGTTCTAGGTCTTCAGTGGACACCAGGGGAAGACAGTTTTTCATTTTCAACTGTACCAGTATCCACCGTTGCTACTAAACGCAGTATTTTATCGCAGATAGGACGTCAGTTCGATCCTTTAGGGTTCGTTGCTCCTTGCGTATTTTACGCTAAATGCCTTATGCAGAAGCTTTGGATCCTAAACCTAAGGTGGGATGATAGTCTTCCTCCAGAACTTGAAAGTGACTGGTTTGCTTACGCTTCAGAATTGCCTTTATTATCAAGCTTAAAGCACGAGCGCCAGGTCACTATCAAAGGACATTCATACTACCAACTGCTAGGATTTTGCGATGCATCTAGTTTAGGTTATGCAGCTGTGGTATATTTACGCACCAATAACGCGGTCGGTGAGGTAAAAGTTAGTCTTGTCATTGCCAAGTCTAAGGTCGCGCCCTTAAAAACTGTTAGCATACCACGTCTCGAGCTAATGGCTGCTCATTTACTAGCTAAACTTGTTAAATACACACAATCAATTCTTTCAGATCAGTTGCAAGTAAATGAAACGTTATTGTTCACTGATTCGTCTGTGGTATTAGGATGGCTCAACACTCCGGCGCACAGCTTAAAAACATTCGTGGCCACACGTGTCACGAAGATTCTAGAAGCTGTAGCTAGCAAATGCTGGTTTCATGTCAGTGGCGTCTGTAATCCAGCTGATATTTGTTCGCGCGGTGCCCTTCCGTCTACCTTAGTTAACACACCGGAATGGTTAAGTGGTCCTACGTGGTCTTACACCTCTCCGGAGTCCTGGCCTGTGCGTTCAATCGAACAGTTTCGACATGAACCTTTGCCCGAGCTCAAAAACGTCATCATAGCTTTAGTCCAAACCTCTGAACAAACTAACGTAGAATCAAATACTCTATCTAATGTAATAGAAAAATATTCAAACTTTTCCAAACTTCTCAATGTAATTGCTAGGTGTTATCAATTTATCAATAACTGTAGATCAAATAAACCACAACGTAACGTAGGCTCTCCGTCCCTTAGGGAAGTAACTGCAGCTCATGACATCTTAGTCAAATCGGTACAACTCGAGCACTTCTCCGACGAAATCAACTCGTTGTCAAAAGGAGAAGAAAGTATCAAGTCTTTACGCAAGCTCAGTCCTTTCCTAGATGAGCGCAGTTTCCTCAGGGTAGGGGGTAGGCTTTCCGAGTCCAGCCTCCCCTATGAGAAAAAACATCCCCTATTATTACCTAAGAGTAGTCATTTTACAATATTACTGATCGACTATTATCATAAAATTTATTTACACGTAGGTCCACGCACCCTACAGAGTTTACTTAATCAAAAATATTGGATAATATCGGCTCGCAGTATAATTCGCTCTCGCATTCTTAAATGCTTATCGTGTTTTAAGGTTAATCCGCCAACCTTACAACCCCTTATGGGAAACCTTCCTAAGTTTAGATGTGAACAAGTTCACGCGTTTCACACTGTAGGAGTAGACATCGGAGGACCGCTCTTTGTAAAAGAGAGTAACAGGCGTAATGCGAAGCTCTCAAAAGCGTACCTTTGTTTGTTTGTCTGTTGCGCTACGCGCGCAGTACACTTAGAAGCGCTCACCGCTCTTACTACGGAGTGTTTCTTAGCGGCGTTCGACAGATTCACATCTAGGCGGGGTCTATGCCACACCTTAGTATCAGATAACGGACGTAATTTTACTGCAGCTGGTAAACATTTAGCCGAAGTTGTCAAATTTTATAAAAATAGCTCTGATCAAATTAATAACGGTTTAACGTCACGAAATGTGCACTGGAATTATAACCCACCAGCCGGTAGTCATTTCGGTGGTTTGTATGAAAGTGGCATTAAGTCGGCTAAATTACATTTAAAGCGTGTTTTAGGAACCAAAGCCTTAACTTTTGAAGAGCTCAGTACTCTGTTTTCGCGTATCGAGGCCGTGCTCAACTCGCGCCCTTTAACTAGTCTGTCTACTGATCCTAACGAATTTCAGATACTTACGCCAGGTCACTTCCTCGTAGGTCGTGAATTATTAGCTGTACCTGAATACTCTTTAACGGACGAACCGATCAATAGACTAACGCGTTGGCAGATGGTGCAGCAAGCCTCTCAACAGTTTTGGCATCTTTGGCGTAAAGAGTATCTTCATACTCTACAACAACGAGCGAAGTGGCAAACCAAGAGTCGTAATATTCAAGTGGGAGACCTTGTTTTGCTACACTCTGAATCTCCGCCGTTGCAATGGCCTCTCGGTCGAGTCACGAAGCTCTATCCCGGACCAGACGGAGTAGTCCGTGTGGTGAGCGTTCGTACTCGCACCGGTGAATTTATTCGCCCTGTTGTGAAGTTGAGTCCACTTCCAACAGATACTCAATAAAATTTCTTTTTTTAAACAATAATTTAGTCATTTAAGCAAATTTTAGATTAAAAATAATACAGTCCACTACTCATTTACTTATTTCAATATCACTACTCATTTACATAGTTCAATATCACTCTTATACATTTTACACATATTTCGATCGCATTTAATTTCAATAACTCTTCAAATAACTTCACATTGACACTATACCATGCCTGGTATGGTAACTGGGAAATCTCGTACATATTCGATTTCCGGTAGGGGGTAAATGTTGGATTTTAAAATAGGCCTATCCTTTTCCCGCCCCTTTTTTTCCACACTTGTCTATACATCGCGCGCACAGCATTGACACATAATGTCACCGATGCAAGCGCCTCTAGTGTCAGAGTTCAAAAAACCTTCTTCTAAAAACGACTTCAAGAGCAGCGTGTACGCGTCCGCAATATAATTACAAAAAACCTAAAAAAGTGCAGTGAAAGTGCAGTGCAGTAACCAAGTAAGTCCTGCCCCTTTCCTAAGGCCTAGATATATAGATATTTTTATCAAATTTATTACTTAATCAAACACATACAAACCTAAATTTCCAATAGGGACGAACCCGAGCGGAGCGAGGGTGATTCGCTAGTTTATTTATAAAATAAAATAATATTAAGCTGACATCGAAGCATACAATCATTAAAAAGACGATTGCATGTTGTGATATCAGTGAGTTATCAATAACATGATTGTGATATTAAATATTGATTATACCTTATCAACTTTACATACATATATCCCAAAAGTTTAAAATAATACTAGGTTTTTCTCGCAGCTTCATATGGGAAGCGCGTAGTAGTCTATATACGTGTATATGATGCAATTTATATCCTTGGGTTCAGCGAAATCGTCTTCGTTCAGTAATTTAAGCGTGAAAGCGTAAGAGACAGATAGACATAGCTATTCGCACATATATTATATTAGTATGTTCTACGATTACAAAAAGAGGCCGTAAAGTCAAAATTCAATCGACATATTTAATTAATGGCTCACGATGAAGTATTAGAACAAAAAGGCCGAAGATAAAAGCCAATGCTATAAAAGAAAACAAAAGATCGACTCTACCACAGATGAAAAGAAAATCTGCCTCAGACAGATTTCATTTGAGTGTTATTAACTTCACTACCATTTATATGTTTGTATATGAATGTAGGTATTGTTATTTTTAAGATATTTTTATAATCGTATAATATAACAATGCATGAGCTATAAGAAGTAGCTTAGAGATTGGAATATTTAATTCTAATTACACATTACATCTGGCTGAATATGGTGAAGTCAAAGACGAGGCTATAATTAACTTTATTTTAAACTTTTGGGATATATGTATGTAAATTTGATAAGGTATAATTAATATTGATAACTCACTGATATCACAACATGCAATCGTCTTTTTAATGATTGTATGCTTCGATGTCAGCTTAATATTATTTTATTTTATAAATAAACTAGCGAATCACCCTCGCTTCGCTCGGGTTCGTCCCTATTGGAAATTTAGGTTTTTATGTCTTTTTAAAAAATGTACGAAAAATAAAATTTTGCGGTGGACCACCCTTATCACTTAGGGGTAGAAAAAAAGTTTACGTCCTATTCTCAGACCTACTGAATATGCACACAAAATTTCATAAGAACCGGTCAAGCCGTTTTTGGGGAGTTTTGTTACAAACACTGCTTTTTTTATGGTATTCAGTAAGAAACGAGCACGACAGCCCACCTGATGGAAAGCGGTTACAGTCACCCATAACACCTACGGTTCATGCACTTAGGTTTTATGTTACAAAAATGCAGATCCGCAGGTGCGTTGTCACTGTGAGGACTAAGATGAATATTCCTCTTGCCTGTAATTACGCTGGCTACCTTATCCTTCAAACCGGAACACAACAATATAATCATTGTTGCTTGGTGGGAGAAATAGATAAGGGGGTGGTACCCATCCAGTCAGACTCCTCAGGCTTGACAGCGTCCTACCACCGGTAGATACTGTGACACGAGAATTTTATATATTAGATAAATATCTTGCGACAGTAATACAACAAGGCTTGTGGTGTGGATACCAGATAGTTGATACATTAGATATATATAACATTAAATATATACATATTATAAATATAAACACGGATGACTGGAGTACACACAAATGAATGTTCTCAGCGGGACTCGAACCCGCGATCGCTAGTACAGTACACACATTAC